GACCGCGGGGGTTGCACGGCGGTATAGCTGCGAGGGGAGGCGGGGAAGGTCTATAGAGGACGGCGGCTGCTCGCTGTAGGGTCCTGCCGCGGGGAGGGCGGGAGCTCCGGGCGGCGCTGCGCATCTATAGGGGACGGCCCTCGCGCGCCGGGGGGGGCGCTCTATAGGGGACGCTCGTAGGTTTTCTATGGCTGTCTCTATAGGGATGGCTGCGTGTCCTCTATAGGGAGCTGGGGGTACATCTTGGGTGGGGGGGTCTGCGTGTCTTCTATAGGGAGTTCGGTTATCTCTATAGGGATGGGTGTGTGTTCTCCATGGGGATGCGGGGTACATCTATAGGGGATGGATGTGCTTCTCTGTAGGGGGTTGGGGCTGGCTGCGTGCTTGCTGCGTGCTCGCTGGAGGAAACGCGCGTGTCCTCTATAGGGAGCTGGGGGTACATCTTGGGTGGGGGGGTCTGCGTGTCTTCTATAGGGAGTTCGGTTATCTCTATAGGGATGGGTGTGTGTTCTCCATGGGGATGCGGGGTACATCTATAGGGGATGGATGTGCTTCTCTGTAGGGGGTTGGGGCTGGCTGCGTGCTTGCTGCGTGCTCGCTGGAGGAAACGCTAGGCACATCTGTAGGGGGTGGCCGTGTGCTCGGCATCGCTGGCTCTGGGGGGGCAGGCATGTTCTCTATAGGGGGTCGATGCACACTTATAGGGGATGGCTGTGTGTGCCCTATAGGGGGCTCGACGTGTCTCTTTAGGGGATGGGCGGGTGCAGCTATAGGGCTCTCTATGCACATCTCTGAAGGGCGGCTGTAGGCTCAGCATAGCTGGCTCTATAGAGAATGACTGCATGCTCTCTATAGGGGTTCTGTGCACGTCTCTATAGGGGATGCTAGCATATTCTCCGTGTGCATCCATGGCCATGGGCTCTCGCATGTGCAGTTTTTTGGGGGGCCCAGCGCACACTTGTGTGCCCAGTGCCGGATCTGGCTGGCTCTGGCTGGGTGAAGCGGCGACACACATAGTGATGGCGGGGAGCGTGGGGGATGGGCAGGGGGTGACACGGCCTGTCCGTGTCAACTGCATGTGTCACGGAGCCCCCCCACAATTCCCCCCTTGCTTGGGGCCTGCTCCTGCCCCCCATGGAGCAGGCACCTGGGGAGGGGGGGGGAGCTGGGCCTGATAATGAGGTCAGGTGGTGCCACCTTAGCTCTGGGCTTGCACACACATGCACACGCCTGCACATGCGTGGGGGGCCTGTGTACATCTCTGCCTGTCCATCCAGTGCTTTTTCCTCCCTTCCTGTGCAGAGCATGCAGGTCCCTCCTCCTACCTTGAACACGCATGTATGCACAGTGGGGCACTCATGTGTTGCACATACGGCCTAGTTTCACACATTGGTGCTTGGTTTGGAAAGCCCTGGTTCTACCCCATGGGAGCAGGTCGTGCCCCCACGCCCCATGCACTTGCATGCACATGTACATACACACACATATGCACATGCTCCATCAGCTTGTGTGTCAGCCCACCCAGTTCAGTGGGGCTGAGACCCACCCCGCCACCAGCCCCCATGTGAATGGGGGATCATGTGCTTTTTTGGCATGCACAAATGCACACATGTACTCACACGCACACATGTGTGTCCAAGTCCCCCTAGAGCCAGCCTGGCCTCCTGCTGCTCCAACACTGTGGTCTTTGTATCATGGCATCTCTGGAGAGGATGCTGATGGCTCTGGGGGCTGTGGGGGGAAAAGGACCCAGGAATCCAGGAGGGTTCCCTCCCTGACCCCCATCAGTGTCATTCCCAGCCTGGGTCCCTTTCAGTCACCATGGCTGCCCGCCTGGGTTCTCTCCCTGCTCTGGGAGGGGAGTGGGGGCTGGGAGGTGATGGATGGGAGGAGGGGGAGCCCGGACGCCTGGGTTCGTTGTCTCCAGAGATGCCGGTGGGGGGGCAGTCTCTTCTGCCCGGCAGCCCTGCCCCCTTCATGTCCAGCTGGCCTGGCACTGCCTGGCACCTGCCCCCACAACTTGGACCTCTGCTGCTCCTTCCCTACAAAGCCTGAACTGCCTGGGAGGGAATTGGGGGGGG